CCCTAAAAGTTTACGCTTCTTACTCTGTTCCAACATGACACTTGCGGTCTACAGCGGATCGGATTAACACGTCCATTTTGCCTGGCAGGTACAGCACGGTCAGATTTCCACACCCTTTTAAATTTACAATACTTATAAGGCTTTCAGGTGTGGAAATCTGACCGCAACTTAGGTGTCGACATGTTGCACGTAGGATTCTAAGGGGAAAGGGTTTGTCCCGTTTTAGAAGTCAAGAAGCTGCTGCCGTCCAAAAATATATGAGCACGTTAGCCCCATGTTTCTTTTAACCAAGAAAGACGCCTACTTCTCGTATGTGGTCTTCACCTCGGTTGGCAGACAGGTACGGTATGGTCACATAGAAGGACAGATGGATCAGTGTTGTTTGGGTCCGGTCCGTCCATCGGACCAGGTCCAGGTCACCGCGGCCTTGGTGTCCAACGACTGGAAGGAGCGGCACCTGTCGCAACCCGCGTGGTTCGGGTGAAGCGTCGGTGACGGATGGGGTAGGAGAATGTGTTGTCATCAAGTCCCCAAAGACGCAGGGACAAAGCCACATGGCCGAAGATGAAGTAGTTCATGAATCACGCAGTCATAGATGTATGTCATGTGGATCATGTGACAGCCCTATTTCAGCGTCGTTTGCATCACAGATCATGAGCGTCTTGTGCTCAAGGAGAAAGTCTTGTGTAATGACACATGGACATCAGATTGGAAGCCCCGCTCCGAGCACCTCTTCCACATCTTCGGCCATGCACCCCGCCCCAGAACCCACCCATCCTCCCTCCAATCCCGCAAGGCATCCCCCCAAAAAGGACGCTGCTCTTCAGCACGCTTGTCCCGGCTCCACGTCCCTTCCGGCCAGAAGCCTCACGCCGGCGCCTACGGGCGCCTAGCACCTCTGGCCACGCCCGGCACATCCGGGTGCGGCACAGCGCCCTGTGTGGGCGATGGAGCCGGGGAGCCGATGGGAGAGCGATGGGAGAGCGATGGGAACGGGACGGCGTGTGTTTGATTTCCTTTCCTTTTTTTTATGCTTTGAAGCGGCAGGAATAAGATACATATATAATATATATATATATATACGCATTCGATAGGCGAGGTGAATTAGTGATGTGAATCACCATGCAACAGTGTGGAATCACGATGTTTGTAAGACCATTTGGACCCTTGAAGGGCAGAATGGGAGTGATTGGGTCAGTTGTTGGGGCTTCATTTAGGGCACTGGTGGTACAATTGTGACTTTTTATTCTCCGGGGCCGCGAAACATGAAGAAACATGAAGAGTGTGGCTGCCAGAATAGCCAGAAGTCAGGAACCACCGACCTCTTACGGGGGGGGCCTTTATTCACACAACCAGACAGGAAAGACACAGAAGTAGATTTCCTCGCTTTCAGGTGTTACCTCTTTATATTCAGGTTTCACCATGTCCTCATGCACATTGAGATCACATCTGATCACACCTTTTCTCAGCAGAATGTTGAAGAAGTCCTGAAACCGCGCAGATCTATTTGCCATGCTTGTTGTGCGCTTTGGATTCTAAAACATACAATTTACTTGCCATGCGTGCAATGCTCATGAAGCCCCTCTCACTGGATCACCAAGCCTGGCAGCTTGAGAGAAAGTTAAAACAAAAAGTATTCCACAGCTGCATAGCCCTCAGCACAACGCGATAGACCTTTTTATCTCACTTCCTTTATCGACACTGCAAGGCCCTGCTAAGAGGGAAAGCCTTGCTCCCCAATTTTTCCTTCAACTTTAAGATCTCGTGCTCAGCTTCTTTCAACGAGGCGCTTGTGCAACGAAGCTTCCGGCAAAGAGCATCGTTTTCGTTGCCTCAACTCAAAAATAACCGAACTTCCAACATCACCCACAAGTTTCAGTGGATTTTCTTTCTCTAGCTATGCCCACTGATTGCCTCCAAAGGACGTAGCTTGTAGTTCTCGTGCGTCAAGCTTTCAAGCACTGTGAAGCGATCAGCAGTGTCCGTGATGGGAGCCACGCCAGCGTTCGTGGAAGCAGCACTCTGGGAAGAAGCTGGAACATGCTGCCTCTTTCGTTTCCCCTTTCCTCACACTGCCGCTCCAAGAGCTAAAGGTTGTCGCGGTGTCCATCCAAAAACTTACCCCGAAGACTAAAGACCAACCCCCATTCACCAGCAAACCAAAATACAGCAATTGTTTTATTTAACATCTACTTACAAGTTGCGCTGGCTTTCATAGACCCGCTGAAGCGCAGCCCGTCTATTCTTGCGATCAGCGTGATTTGGCACCTCGATGTCCAAATATTTTCTCCGTCCGCCACTCTTTTGGGCTGCAGCCATAGAAAGAGCGAGTGGATGCTGTTAAACAAAATTCCACAATGAGTGAGACAACACTTTCATGGCGATGTCTTGTTACAACACTTCAATGGGAACATCCTCTATTTTTATTTGATGTGGTTTCAAGTGTGACACTGGTTAAAATACAAGACTCTAAGAGGTGGTTCACGAACACCTCTGAATTAACCTCCAGTATGAGGAACTACATACTTCATGCACAATACCCCTTGGACCAATACCCCTTGGTCTCTAAAAATTGCGCAAGGCATCTGCATGAATGAGCGACGCAGCGGTACAGTACGAGCCACCGGATCGCTTCGGCAGCTGGCCTGCAGCACGTGTTTCAGGTCAATCAGGATGTTGCTGAAGTGTCCTGGCACTGGCAAGCAAAAACAAAAGAATGCATTCAAAGAAAACCAAAAACACACAAACAGCATCCCAATCCCGGCATCCCGGCGTCCCGGCATCCCGGCGTCCCGGCGTCCCGGC